GTGTGAAGAACAATATAAAAACAGAAAATACATCCGATATATCAGTTTCTAAGCAATTATATTTGGTCATTACTAAGTTAGCAAAATCTTTTACATTTTGCAATTCTTTTAACTTGTCTTTTAAAAGCGAATGTTTAAGTAACACCCACAATTTAAGTAATTTCTCATTTGCTGGTATGTTACTCAGTTCATTTTCTAGACTTCCGTAGAATGTGCATTTCTTCTCTCTGCTTTTGCTATTGTTCGGAGCACACACACATATGTGATTGAGGTTTCCTGTTCCTATATCTAATGATACTTTGAGAATTCTTTCATTTACGTAATATATGTCTTGTATTAGTCTCTTTTGTGTTAGTCGATACCGCTATATATTAGCACATAGTTTGGTACTTTAGGCTTTGCTATTTTTCTGATACTGCGCATATATCTATGTTATGTTGTTACATTTTTATAGTATATGTAGCATATATCTATGTTATAGGTTCGTATATGTTTGCTCCATTTCTGTTTCCTGTCTAGTTTATTTACAATTACATAGGGAAGACTGACGTTGGTGTGGATTGTGATTTTCGAAATTACAAGAATTTTCACGTCAATACATATTAATCTGATATGTTTTTCTATTATGGCATAGATCCAATTGATCAACAGATATTCTCATTTCTACATTGGAATTAATCTAGCTTTTGCCGTTTTGGTGTTCGCTAGGTTTCTATTCTCGCCAAGCTGGTGTCTTAACATCTGCGTTATTCAACTGATGTATATAATAACTTATGATTACACTAAATATAATTAGAACTAATTGTCGCAATTGGTCGAACATACATATTTAAAATAAAACATTAATAAAAAATATTATTTTAGTATCATCCGTTGATATTAACGTCGATAACAAACCATTACACGTCTCCATTCTGTACAATCCATCTCATTTAGAAGCTGTAAACCCAGTTTCAATGGGAAAAACTCGAGCAAAGCAACTAATGGTAAAAGATGGTGATTATTCGCAAGAAAATAATAGATGGAGTGATAAAATTTTAAATCTTCAGGTAATAAACTTTATTTATTTTCTTGTGTTCTAATTTGTCGAATGTTAGGTTCATGGAGATGCTGCGTTATCCGGACAAGGAGTTAATCAAGAATGTTTAGAAATGTCCTCAGTTCCTCATTTTGAAATAGGAGGTAGTGTTCATTTAGTCGTAAATAATCAAGTTGGATACACAACCCCTGGAGATCGAGGAAGATCATCAAGGTACTGCACGGATTTGGCTAAGATAATTTCAGCTCCTGTTTTACATGTTTGTGGAGATAATCCAGAGGTAAAATAAAAATTAATTATTTAAAAATTTTAATAAAAAATTAAATTAATTTTAGATGGTTTTGAAAGCAACAAGAATAGCATTTGATTATCAAAGAAAATTTCGAAAAGATGTTTTTATAGACATGCATTGTTACAGACAGTGGGGGCATAATGAATTAGATGATCCAACATTTACAAATCCTGCTATTTACAAAATTATTCGTGCTCAAAAGTAATACATTATTAGTTATAAACTTTGAAATACACAATTTTTTTTTAACTTACTAGAACGGTACCTGATCGTTATGCTGAAAAATTGGTACAAGAAAATGTTTGGACAAAAGATAATTGGGATAAAGTCGTTTCAGAACATAGGGATTTTTTGAATGAAGAACTCAAAAAAGTTGATCAATTCGAACCTGATGTATCTACGAAAATTGCTTTATTTTAATATGATAATGATAAAACAATTTTTAGGAACCGTGTTTTCAAAGACAATGGCAAGGATACGATCAAGCACAAAATTCTATAACTAAATGGAATACGGGAGTGCATCCAGAGATTTTAAAATATGTTGGAGTTAAATCAGTTACTTACCCAAAGGATTTTGTAAGTCTATTTTAAACAAAAAAAAATAGAAATTTAAGTATTTTTTTTAGAATATTCACCCAAATCTTTTGAAACATCACGTAACTAATAGATTAAGAACAATTAACGATGGGTTTAATTTGGATTGGTCAACTGCTGAAGCACTGGCAATTGGATCACTTTTATATCAAGGTAAAAATGCGTTCATAAAATAATATAAGATTATAATTCTAGAAACTGATTTTTGTTGATGATAAAGCGATTCAATTAGAAAGTTTCCTAAATATATTTAAATTATATACCAGAAGGTAGTTTCCTCACAAAAAAACTTTTAATTTATAGTTAATTGTGCGAATAATTAAGTATAATTAACTTATTGTTCACAATTTTTTATAAATCTCCAAGTGGAGAGTAAAAGCTCCAAAAAATGTCTGCATGCTGACGCATCATTTTGCATCAAGTAAAAATCATGTCACAAAATTTGAATCGGAATTTACCACAGTGTATTAACATTTGTTCTGAAGGCGGAAATAGTTGATACTAGGTTAAAGGGTATTGCAGTTTATAGTTAATATTACTTCTCTACTATTTGCGTAATACAGCCCCTGATATTGGATTTCAAAGTCCATAACGTCTTGATAGAAATGTTCACCATCGTTTAAATATATGTATATAGATGTGACTGCGACATATGCAGCTTCAACGCCTGCGGCAAAATTTCAATCAGGAAACTCGTTATCATTTGTAATATTAGCTCATCACAGTTTTCAGCTCATTGATTTTTAAAAAAATCTGAAATCCTTTCCACGGTATTCTCTTCTTCTTGCGGAGTAATGGAATCTCTTCATTTATTATAATTTTTTTAGTTATAGGCAGTTTTGTTAAATACCCTGGTATTTATTTTCAAGGGTAAATTTCCTGGATGTATACCCGGTGGTATTTGCCCAAGATGGATATTTAGAGGTATTTATAAAATTTAATTAAAATTGAGTTGATGGCAGTTTTGCAAGCACTTCAAGAATGCAGAGTCGATTATCGATATACCAAACTTATTTATAATATCTACAAGAATGCTACAATTACTGTAAAATTGCATGAAAGTTCTGAAGATAGTAGAAGTAGTAAAGTACTGACTGTAAGTAAAACAAAGCGATACACTGTTGAACCCAAATTGTTCATCACAGTCCTGGAGAGTGCATTTAAATAACTGGATTGGACCTAAAAAGGCATAAACATTGATGGCAAATGCTTTAGTAATTTGCGCTACGCAAATAGTTCTTATTTCGGATAGCTTTGGAGAAATTAAACTAATGTTGAACGACTTAAAGGAGGTGTGTGCAAGAGTCGGGCTAAATATCAACGAGGAGAAATCAAAATTTATGACAAATCTTATTCCCAGCTGTAACATCAACACTGGGGATAATGAGATTGGGAGGGTTGTCAGCTATGTATATCTTGGCTATGAGGTTCGTGTATCGAGAGATAATGAAACAAGTGAACTAAACACAAAGATCACACTCGTATGAGCAGCCTACGGGAAACTTAGAGACATCTTCAAGAGAAAAGGCCAAGAAAGGCTTTCAATCAATGGGTGTTTCCTGTTATGACATACGGCTCCGAAACATTAACATTAACGGTAGCCACTGTCAGGAGGGTCCAAGTAACGCAAAGATAGATGAAAGGGTCGATCCTGAGTGTAACTCTGAGGGAGTACATACGAAATGGATACCTGTGAAGAAGAACTGCCTTAAATGATGTGGTCAACATTGTGGCAAAGCTTAAGTGGAACTGAGCGGGTCATGTCGCGCGAACGAAGAATGAGCAGTGGACAAAAAGGTTGATTGAGTGGAGACCGCGAGCGAACAGACGAAGTAGACGTCAAAAGAATGACCAACAATTGGATTCAGACAGCACAGAATACAATCGAATGGCATAGAATATGGGAGCTCTATGTCCAACAATGGACGCAGTGGGTGCTTGATGATAATAATCATAACAACTTGATCTATTTTAAATTAAGACAGAGTCGTCTGATGATAATACGTCTTTGATTGTTGACAATTCCTCGTCTTCAACGTCCATTTCATCATCTTCCTCTTCATTTTTTTTTTTTGAATCTGATATACTTTTACTGGTATCACTTTTATACGCATTGTTTGGGTATTTACCCTGGACCAGGGTAAATACCCGGATAAATAGCAATTGTAGAAATACCTACCCGCCGGGTATTTATCCATCGCCCATCACTGACTGTAGACCAATAATAATTCCTGCCTTCAGAAAGGTTAGGGCAAAAGTTCGGTACATAAGTATATGAATGCGTTCGAATCAGTGTTCAGAGTATATACAGATGAATGTAGTAGCTCTCACTTCACATTATAAAACTGTCATAGACAAGACAACCAAATTGGTGTTCCCCAGTGTTACCATTATAATTTAATCAATGTATGTTTAGGGTAGAGGAACCTGTTATGGCCACATTTAGTACTCTTCAACTTTTAAAATTCGGTATCTTAGTTAAAAATTGCAATACATGCGAGAAAAAAATCATAATAGTGTCTCTTAGCTCTTGTTGCATATAGGCATCTTCCATTTTATTTGTGTATCAAGTATTTTAAAAGACAAAAAATAATTTTCAAAAGTAGATCAATTTTCCCATTTATGGTCACCAAAACCGCTATTATGGCCATAAACGTTTCCACTTATGGCCACCATAATTTGTTTGCGTAGAAATCAAACGCAATTAAGTACAATTTTTACATTTTATTAGGTACGTAATTACAACAAAACTTAAGGAGATGAACATTTATTGTTTTTCAAATACGTCTACAGCACTACGGAAAACAATTGTCATCTTTCGACCAACATTTTTCAGTTCGAGTTCTGGAAGCGTTCCAAGGATTTCTTCCTTTGAAATGGCACATTTGTCATTGTCTAACACTTTAAAATGTGTCTTAGTCTGATCTAAGCTTTTTAGACATTGTACTTCAAACTCATCGTCATCCAACACGCATAAAATTTTTGCAACATACTTGTAATGGATCATAGCTCTTTTTCCAACGCTCTTAAATGAAGCTAAAACATAATCACCTTCTTGCAGGTCTGTAACTCCATACATATCAATTGTTTCTTGACTTTCTGTCTCAATATCGTCAACATCGTCTAAGCTGCTCCCGCTTTCATGCCACTCAACAGTTTTTCTTTCTCTTCTTCGTCTTTTTTGCCTTCTGCGCTTCCTCTACTTTATTTTTCTGAATTCTCTTCTTTCTCTCCATCTTCAGCTCTTCTTGAATTTTCTTCCCTTTCTTTTTGAGTTCAAAATATTCCATCCATTTGTCAGACGTAACAATATGGAGTATATTCTTTCTTCCTTTTTCCTACTGTCGCTTTATGGTGTGGCCAAGGAATGACATCATTAAACACTGAGGCAAGAGACCGTTTAGGCGGGCAAGTATATTCGACGTTGTGGATGTTGATTGATCAACACTTTCATCTCTGCTGTTGAAGTACAAATCCTGTAAATGTTGAGCAACAGCTTCCTTCTCTTTTTCGGAGGATAAGCCTTTTGGTTGACGACATTCTTGGTAGTTTGAAGTTTGGGGTGTTTGCACCTCAATGACGATTTCATTAGAAGCTTCGAATTCTTGCATCACCTCTATCTCCGAAACTGGATTATTTAATATCGTTGGTAATGTTTTTTGATGGAGTGCAGGTTCCTGAATGGGAGGGTCAGGGGCATTTGTTCCATCACTGTGTGCCTCAACTTCATTTGCTACCTGTAGCCAAAAGTCAAATAACATCACAGCTTCAATACTGCCATCCCAATCGTAGTTATCCTTTCTTGCATCTTTAAACTGCTGAAGAAGACCAGGATCAATTTTAGATTCAATGTATTTAAGATAAGGTTTCAGAACCTCTACACCAGTTGTTGTTTTAGCCTGTACTTCCCGAATAATTATTTTGGAAAAATCAACATTGTTGACATCAAATAGAGACAATCCAGTTGATCTAAAACCTGATTTGACATTATCAAGCATTGTACAACATCTGCTTTTGAAATTTCCTTTCCATCATGATCAATGCGCCATTTGCGGACGGTCCTTTGCCACTTCTTCTTTCTTTTAGTGGTCCAAACACAGCTACATCGAGTGGCTATAAGATATGAGTAGAGTTTGGGTAAAGTGCCACAAGTACAATTTTGTTTTCACGACAAAATCGACTAAGTTCCAAACTCATATGAGATCGATGACAATCCAGGAATACTATAACAGGGAATGTTATAGATTTCTTCTTTAAAAATGGCAAAAAAACGTTGGCTATATACTCAAAGAAGCTTTCTGATGTCATCCAACCATTTTCTGTTTTTCCAATACCCCATCCGATTGGAGCTGCTGCCACTAAACTTGCAGGAAGTCGCTCGTATTTGTATACTATTTAGTATTTGTATTTGTATTGTGTAAGAGGTGGAACAAACTGCCCGCATGCATTGACCGAAAATAAAGTTGTCACATTCTCTTTATCCGAATTTGTAGATTCATTGTAAACGTTTTGTCCTCTTGGTCCGATAATGAGTCCTCCTTTAGGAGTCAAAAAGAAGCAAGTCTCATCTATATTAAAGACGCGCTCTGGGTCCCTTATGGCTACAATTTCTTCTTCTGTGAGTAAAATTTCAACTTCCTTAAACCAGTTCTGTATTTTTTCTTCAGTAACAGTGCCCCTTGCCTTGTTGACATATTCAGCGTGCTTCTGGGAGAGAACAGGATGTCTATTTAGGAAAGAAGTAACCACTTTTTGCCGGGCTTATTGTTGGAAATTGGATGGTTTTCATATTGGAATAATCTACGATCTTCTTGACTGAGCATAGAAAACTCTTCCTATCTACGGGAAATCCCATTTTGGCACAATTCAACACCCAATCCACTAATACATTTTTGCAGTCTTTTCCCAAAACAGAATCAGGTCTACGGTGACGCGGTGATTCAACTGGACTCTTTTCCGAGATTTTGTTGCAAAGAGTGGCACAGGCATTCCATTTTCTATAGCCTTCAACGCCTAGGACACTTTTAATGGAGAGTACTGGAACCGTTTCTGTTTATTTTTCTCATTGTCAGTTATGGTAACAGAGTCTTGTAAATAAAACAGTGTTGTTCAAAATCCATTAAAGCATCAAATTTACCAGAATGGCCATAACTGGGTTTACGCTAATTAACTTATGGCTACGTCATGGCCATATCTGGCAAACACCATTGATAAACACCATTAAATCACACAATCAAACGATTTTCTGAAGAAAAATCTGAAGATTTACTTATTTTTGTTGATCATCTGAATATACCAGTTTTAGCTCTAACGGAGCACTGGTTAAAACCTAATGAACCACTTATCATTGAGAGCTATGAAATGGTTTCTAATTTTACTAGAATAAACAATCAGTATGGAGGATCATGTATACTCATTCAATCAAGAAAGTAAGGAATTGATTTTGGAATGCAATGCAATAAAAATTGCACCCCTAAATTTAATTATCCTTTGCACTTACCGTGCACTAACGGGAGATATTGAAGATTTCTTTGTCACATTGGAAGAGATATTACAGTATCTATTAATGAAATTAAAATTCAAAATTTTTCTTGCTGGTGATTTTAATATCAATTTAGGGATCCAAGACAGAATTTCGTTTGGACTATTTAGACTATTGGAAACCCTATCGAGCTACGACCTACACCCTTCAATTATGGAAGCTACCCGAAAAAATAATCGATCCGGCACTATAATTGACAATATCTTTACAAATCTCGAGTCATATGAGAGTAAAATTTTAGTATCTGCATTATCAGATCACTACGCGCAAGAGATATCCTTTTTAATCAATAGTAGGATTGAAAAAATTAAAACAAAAATAAAGAAAGGTTTTCTAAATCGAGACATATTAACGCACATACATCATGACATATATGAACGCCACAAATTGGTCATTTACAAAAGACATGCAAAATGCTGAAAACTGTTTTAATAATTTTTTGAGTATTATTCGAAATAGTTTGGATAGACAGAGCAAATTTAAAATTGTTGTTATTTCATTCTGAAGCCTATAGAAATTTCTGTCAGTACCTAAAGACAGAAATTGAAAGATCAAAAAAGGCTTCGTATACTAACTATATTGAAAATGCGTCAATAATTATTGTGATCTAAACATATTTCGACCAGTGTATGAAAATGATATAGATATACTAATTGCGCTAATGCATATTTTATAAATAGTGTACAAATTTCTAATACGGTTCCTTTAAGAACAAGAAACTTACAAATATCTAAAACTTTCGCATTTTATGTAAGTGATGCAATAGAAGTTTAAAAAATAATTGATAAACCTTTGATAAGATTCCCGTGGCCTTATTGAAGTTCTCTTCTGATGTTCTCTCTGAACCATTGAGTAATGTTATCAATTTGTCCTTTTCTATGGGCGTTCTTCCAGTAAGCTTTAAAAAATAGTAATTGTTGCGTTCATATCAAATATTGCAAAAATATTTGAAAAAATTGCATTGAGGACGATATAAAAGGACGATCAACGTCACGTGCAATTTTTTAGATACTTAATAAAATTACATCAGCTATCAATGAAAATGATATCACTGGTTGTATTTTTGTGGATAACAAAAGCATTCGACTGTGTGAATCATGAAATCCTTCTGAATAAAATAGAAAAAATGGGTTTCGGCGGCGTTATCCTTGATTGGTTAAAATCCTATTTATACGGCAGAATCCAGTGTGTTGTGTCATACAGCGATTCGGGAGGAGAAGTTAGGTCTGAGTGGAAAGAAGTATTTCAGAGTGTACCTCAGTGGTCAGTCTTGGGACCTTTCTTGTTTCTTCTGTACATTAATGATTTGCTTGATGTACTTGATAGTTTACTGGCATTATTTGCGGATGATTCAACTTCTGTTATATCTGAAAAAAGTGAGGAAGCGGTCTGAAGAATGGCCAGAGAGAATCTAATAAAACTAAACGAATGGTTGTTCGGAAATAATCTACAGCTCAATATAGCAAAATCAACTTTTATGATTTTTGCAAATGAAACACCTGAGATGGAAATAATGTTTGGAGGACAATTACTCGCTTATCAACAGGAGGTGACGTTCCTGGGTTTAAAGATGGACTGCCACCTTTCCTGGAGTCAATACATTGATGGGTTGACAACCAGTTTATCCAGAACATGTTTTGCGCTTCGAACAGTGTCACAATGTGTAGGTGAAAGAGTCGCTTTAACTGTTTATTATGCGTGTGTTGAATCGCGTTTGAGATATGGAGTTATTTTCTGGGGAAATGCAGTAACGTCGGAACGTGTTTTTATCCTTCAGAGGAAGTGTACGAGCGGTTTTCGGTTTAGGTCCGCGTGACTCATGTAGAGCTCATTTCACAGAATAAAACATTCTCAAGTTCCTTCTTCTTTTATGAAACTTTTATGTTCTTTTATTTTGTACTGGATTATTGTATTTGAATTTGTAAAATTATTGGTATTGTAATTAATTAATGTTATTTACATAATTGTAAAGGTTGTTTTGTTTGACTGTTTTCTATGCATGTAAGCATTATGGAAATAAAGGGATTTATTATTTTAAAAAGTTAGAAAAAGAATCGCTTAATCATCAAAAAAAAAATCATAAAATAAACCGTTAAACTGAATTTGTTTAATTTTTTTAATGTATAATTTATAGGATACAATGTTCGAATAAGTGGACAAGATGTTGGACGTGGAACCTTCTCTCAAAGACATGCTATGTTGGTAGACCAAGCAACGAATAATACTTACATTCCATTAAATGACATGGATTCCGAGCAAAGTGGCTTTTTTGAAGTAATACTATTTTTTTAAATAATTTAATCAATTCATTAATCAATATGCACTAAATATTTTGTTTCAAATGAATACTAAAACATCAATTTTTGCTCGTACAATATAAAAATAATATTTCTGGAAAGAGGAAAATGGTGAAGCTATAACATTTCTTGAAATAATTGAGGAATAAATGAATTGAATCCTTTGAATACACTCTTTCCACCAAGTACATGTTATAGACTAGATTTTCAAAAAATAAATTAAACATCACAATTCCATATTAAATTGATGAAGTTGTGCATTAATTTAACCTGGTGCAGAAGTTTAAGTCTTTAGTCTTCTGGATAGGATTGTTGCAGATTTCAATTACCTACTTTAAGTTATGCAAACAAGAGCATATTGAAAACCTACAAAAAATGGTTATAAGCAATATGATGGAAATTGATAATTTTGAACGTTATTCCAGAAAGAACTGCGTTGTATTAACAGTTTCGCCGAGAAAAAAAGGGTGAAACTAGAATTTTGTTGGAAACGAAACTTTTGGTAGCTATAGTCTAATAGAAAAAATTAACGCTAAGAAGTTCATCATGGGATTGTTATCTAACAAAAGACTGGTTTTGAAAAAAGCAGAGAATAATTTGGTAATAGCAATGTCTATCGTGAAAATCAGAAACAGTTTCCGCACTGTATTCTTCCAAAGTATGATGTTGAAGAATTCAATAACAGAATTGGACAAGCGATTATGGTCGATGAAAATAATGTAGTTCACTATACAGTCTGAGTCAAATGCCCTCTAACGCCTAAAAATGATTGAAATATGGTCATGAGATACGCCACAAACATTTTAATCCAAACTTTGCATCAAGCTTTTCTTATATATTATATATATACTTAACATATTTAGACATATTTGCAACACAATCCAAAATCGTTTAAGTCTACCAACTGAAAAGCAGTTTCCTAATTTTATTTGATTAGTCTCCACTATACCAGTCTTTCAGAGCAGTTCATTAATTTTTTATGGAAATCACTTTAATAGATTGCAAACTTATATGGTTTATGGAAAACAAGCATTAGCAGCTACATATTGCTACAAATTCTTAGTCATTACAGTTTTTCCAAGTTCACGGTGCAGTAAGGTGGCTAGTGCCATTGTTCGATTTTTCATCGGTTTCCCTATTTCCATAACATATTCGTGGGTCGCAAATAACGCTAAAATCTGGCATATTTATTCTCTAAAGTCTAAACCAATGAGTGTCAGAAGCAGACACTTCTGGCTGTAACAAACCATAGGTAGAGGTCAAAGATTTTCAAAACTTACGTAATGAATTCAAGTTCTTAGTAACGTTATCAATATGTTTAAAGAATTTTTTCAATTCTGAATTAAATTTTGAATTCAAATTTAACCCTAGGATGCATAAGTGAATCTATATAGCATGTGTCTCAAAGACACTTGTATATTAATACCAGCGAAATTTAGTTTATTCAGATTATTGAAAAGAATTACGCAATACAATATGTTATTAACACAATTTATGTGACACATTTTTTGCAAATTACCACACTGTGTTCTTTGCAGATAGGTGTTTTGCACATTATGCATCGCAAAGTACTCGTGCGACTAATCTTAACTGAACACACGCTATATCTCTTCTTTTTGGGTGGATTCAGAAGTACCTGGTGCCGGAAATTCTATGAATTTTTTCATGTCATCTACGATGTGTCGATGTAATTTTGGATTTTGTGATCTCACTTTCATAAACGGAAGTATCAATTCCTGAGGTAATTCTTCCAAAAATATCCTTCGTTTATGACTGCTGCCAGCAGCATAGTTTGGATTTTCGTTTGTGTAAAGGAAAAAGGAATTTATGGCTGCAACACCAATAATATTTGACCAAACTGCAAACGGCCAACGTCTAGTCTGTCTCTTGCATGTGTAACTTCCAAGCATTTGGTCCATATGATCCACACCACTTTTCGTATTATTATAAAATGTTATTATGATCGGTTTTCTTTTACAGTCTTCTATAGAAATTTGATCTTCATGGTGCATAGAACTCAAAAGGACAACGGACTTATTTTTCTTATTAACGTGTCAGATCGTCAGAAAATCCAAAAACTGAAGAATAAACAGGCCTGTCCTTCTTTGCGAAGTGTTCCTATAGATGTTATCCCAATAGCTAGAACCTGGTGGACTAATGGTACACTGGTAAAGTAGTTGTCAAACGTTATGTTTCTGGAAGTATTGTTTATAGATGATACTAAGGTCATTACATTTTGTGAAACATTCTTCGCTGTTTTTTCAACCGGCTGCTTGCCCAAAATAAACTTAACCATCAATCACATAGCCAATATCGCTTTCACATATCCAAAAAAAATTTATTCCATACTTTGCTGGCTTGTTTGGTATATATTGAATAAAACCACAGCGTCCTCTATATGCCAACAATTGCTCGTCAATGGTTAAAAATTCTTTCGGTATCATAATTATTTGTCATTGAATAAGAAATAATTCCCAAACGTGGCGTATAGGAGCAAATTTGTCACTCTCGCCCTTTACAACTCTTGTCCTCTTATCATCAAATCTGAGAAATCTTTTGATGTTTTCGAAGCGATTCAGGGACATCGTTGCTCTATATGTAGGGTTGGAACACTTGTCGAGAAACAATTTCCTTACTGAAACATTCCAGCTTTTCTCTGCACCTGCTAACAGTAACAACCCAAAGATTTCTAAAACATTTATTTCTACCAAACTAATTCTGGCTTTCCTTTATATTGATGTTTAGCTTCTGTATTTGTGCAAAGTATTATTTCATTAACCATTTCCGATATTATAAATTTATCCCAAGCACATTTGAGAGATAATACTTCGTTTCTTTTCCTCGGTCCTGGTTTGAATCGAATAATGTTAGTAGGGACGGTTTTTTTTTGAGAAGGAGTAGAAGAAGTCCACTTGAAACCATTTCGACCATGCAAGCTGTTTTGGGCGTTAGGTTCAACATCGCTTAACTCAGTGTCTGATAAGATATCCGACTCGTATGAATCTTCCTCAGCTTCAGGTGGTGGCACATCAAAGTTGCACTTTAACTGAAACATTATCTATGTCATCTTCGTTGTACCACTGCAACACAATGTATTCAAAATCGGAGTCGCCTACTCGAACGCTTCTTTTTCTGCTGCCCGACGCTATTTTTATCAATATCTACAAATAATATATGCACATTTATGAAGATTTACTTCGAGTATACGTGAATCTAAAACTTACGAAAGATATATGAAATCACTCTATTATTTATCGTATTTTCAACCCCTTCGTATACCTGTCCCATAGAATCCCATTGTTCCTTTCGTTCGAGTCCTCGAGGACTTTAGAGCCAATAGGAGCGGAGCTCTATGGACCGAGCGGCCCCGGCGACCATGTGGCTGACGTGACAAATCCCCATTCCATGAAGAACAAAATTTATTTTTCGACCGTTAAGTATATCAAATTATTGCCCTCAAAGGTTGTCCAGAGGCACTCTTAATAGGGCAAGAAATTCGTATACACCATTTCAAAATAAAGAAATGAAAAGTAAAGCCGTGTGTCTTTAGCGGCCCATACACGATGATTCTTGCGGCGGTGCCGCCAGAGCCGCCGCAAGAGTCGTCGCATGCGACGGATTTTAACGGCCTACACACGTAGACTCTTGTGGCGTCGTGCCGCACTTCTTTAACCGCTATCGACGGACCTATACCAATGCATATCTGGCCAGACAATAGCCAAGAAATTGGCTGCAGAATACCAATACTACTTGCAGAAGACTGAATACTTCCTATAGAGGACAAATACTACCTATACAATACTAGAAACTGCTTAAAAAGATAGATATCGTCCTTAGAAACCTAAGTACTGCTACCAATAGACTACAAATTGGTTGCAGAATACCAATACTATTTGTAGAAGACTAAATACTGCCAGCAAAAGGCTAAAAACTCCTTGCGGAAGGCAAATACTACCTATACAATACTAGAAACTGTTTGCAGAAGATAGATATTGTTTATGGAAGGCTAGGTACTGCTACCAATAGCCAAGGAATTGGTTCCAGAATACTAATACTGCTTGCAGAAGACTAAATACTTCCTATAGACGATCAAAAATTCCTTGCGGAAGACAAATACTACCTATGCAATACTAGAAACTGCTTAAAAAGATAGATATTGTTTATACAAGGCTAGGTACTGCTATCAATAGACTACAAATTGGTTCCAGAATACTAATACTGCTTGTAGAAAATTAAATATTGCTGGCAGAAAGCTAAATACTGCCAGACAATTTTACAAGCTCATTTATGGCGGTAGTTTTTCAGTTTCTGTTGATGTAATTTTTTGATTTTGAGTCCCATAAACATGGGTACATTCTATATAGGTTTATAAATTTTTTCCAAAAATCTTTTTCGGCGAACGATGCCATTTCGATGGACGTTGGAAATAAACTAAAGCGATACTTTCGGTGTCGTATGCACGTCGCAATCCCATACACGTTGACTCTTGCAAGGCGCCGGAGCCTGCCACGGTCTTGAATCCGTCGCCGTCGCCGCTGCCGATGCCGTCGCATGAGTCCTGGCGCTTCCCTACACACGATGCTTCATGCGGCTTGACTCTTGGCGTCGCTGCATGCGACGCTGCAAGAGTCGTCGTGTATGGGCCGCTTTTCAGACACATGTTATGCATCCTAGGGTTAAGAACATTTTGAGTCCAATTGGGACAAATTTGTATACTTTTTAAATCTTGGTTTGTAATTATTAAGTGATTGAACTTATTAACGCAAAATAAATTATAACTATTAACTTTAAAGTACTAAATTTGAAATTTTTCTGAATTTTATAGTTGGGAGCTTTTTTTGTAAGTTCTATTTTGTTGGCTAGAGAAAAAAAAACATCTTGCCCTTGCATCCATCGCCAACTAGGACATTTTAATTCATTTAATGTTTAAAATAACAATATTAATCATATTAAATTATTGCTTTAATAAAATATATTCACATTTATTATCTCAAATAATTACAAATCTCAATTTTTATCATTTTAGATTGCAAATAGTATCTTATCAGAAGAAGCAGTTCTAGGCTATGAATATGGAATGAGCATAGAAAATCCCAACAATTTAATAATTTGGGAAGCGCAATTCGGCGATTTCTTCAACGGTGCCCAAATTATGTTCGATACATTCGTTTCTTCGGGAGAAAGTAAGTTTATTTGAAATTTATTTTTTTATATTCAATTAAAAATTTATTACAGCTAAATGGTTGTGGAGTTCTGGATTAGTAGTGATGCTTCCTCATGGTTATGATGGAGCAGGTCCAGAACACAGTTCATCAAGAGTTGAAAGATTTTTACAAATGACAGATTCCAAAGAAAATAAACCTGACGGTGATAACATTAATATGCAAGTTTGTCAACCGAGTACTCCAGCGCAATATTTCCATTTACTAAGACGCCAAATGATTCGGAATTTTAGAAAACCCCTTATTATTATCTCGCCGAAAACATTACTTCGATCTCCAGTCGCAACTTCAAATTTAGATGATATGTCAATTAATACTTCATTTCTTCCTGTTATTGGTGAAGCTTAAGAAATAAAATTTTATGGTTTTTAGTAGTACTAATTGATGCGTTTTTTAGGGGATACAATGTGTAATCCAGATCATGTAGAAAAAGTTCTGTTTACATCTGGAAAACATTATTATACATTGTTAGAAAAAAGGCAAAGTTTAATGGCGATGGACACAGCGATTATTAGAATTGAATCTTTTTGTCCTTTCCCCATAGTGGAAATACAACAAGAAATTTCAAAATATAAAAACGTTAAAGGATTCATTTGGTGTCAGGAGGAACCTCAAAACATGGGAGCTTGGAGTTTTATTCAACCACGTTTCCAAAACTTATTAGGATATCCAGTAAGAATTAATTTTATTTTGTTGTATTCGTCACCAATTTATTTTTTTTTCTTTTTTTTTATAGATAACGTATAGCGGAAGAAAAACTATGGCATGTCCTGCTGTTGGTGTAGGTTTATGGCATCAACAACAAGCGATTGATATTACAGTAAAGCCTTTTTTGATGAAATATTAACTAAAACTACAATAAAAAAATAATATTAATAAAAAATATAAAACAAATTTTTATACAAGTTCTAACAAATTACTTAATAAATAAGATAATGAAAATAAATTCACCAAGTATACGTTTTATTAATAGAACAAATCAATATACACATGTGAACATTATTAATTGTAAACCAAAAGAATAGGCAATGACCACATTATTTCACACACATTATTTCTCTTGTGCACAGGGTACGCTTGAAAAGGCTTTCGTTATCGTTTAGAAATTTGCTTATATAAATATTACTTCAGTCGAAAGAAACGTTAAAAATAATTAACTAGTCGCTATATGTATATATTTATATATATATATATATATATTTACCTAGCTACGCAACTACCATAGCTCGGAAAATCTAAACGGAAATCCTCCGACGCGAGCATCAACAAACGAAACGAACAAAAAAATAAAAAAAAAAGGATAAAGAAAAACACTTTACACCACGCAAACGCAGAACTGATCAAAATTGGTCGTTATTATATGGCACCGGTACGCTCGCGCTATTTTATCATCGTATATTTACATTATGTATAAGTTCTGCTCGATCAAAATCATAATATAACGAAAGCTCTTGGTGATCGTTTATTCTGAGTTATGTACAAAATGGATACAATTTATACAATTCTCCTTAACTCTTGTAAATGTTGTATACCACTTATTCTTAATTACTTTTAATTTTTTCTCTTCCTCATTAACAAAGTATTCTAATACATATTTTCATCTATAAAATGGGAATCTCAAAAAAAATATATAAGAAAAATAAATACTATACAACATCCACTTTTACTTCCCCCCTTTTTTGTTATGGTATTTTTGGCAAACACGATTATAATATTTTTCTAGGCTAATAAACCTATTATGCCCCGGAATACATTATCAATAATTAAATTAAAAAAAAAGGAGAAATTTAAAGGTGAATCTAAAAATATAACGGCAACCGGGAAACTGTTGTTTATATTCTTTAATTTCTTATGTTGCACAGGGTATTGTTCAAAAAGAGGAATTTAAATATTATTTGTTTTAATTAATTTTTTTATAGAGATCATTTCAAATTCTTATATGACGTAGATTCAATCACAATATTTTTTTTCATTAATACTACTGTGACAGAAAGATTATAAATAAAAGATTTATAATGAAAAAGATAGTGAAGAATCAAAAAAAAAGCGTAATAATATAATGTAATAAAAATAAAGAGATTAAAGAAATTAACTATAAATAATTTAAAAAAAGAAGTAATGATTATTAATGTAATAATGGTCTAAAACTTAATTTTAATTTGATTAGATTTTAACTGCTTTCTTACACAGTATACAAGTGTCCGTCAAAGATGTTTTATAAACTTGTAACTTGTTAATTTTGGAAGAAAAAAATATATAACAACTTTATAGACTTGTTACATCATGGAGGAGTTAGTTTTTCAGGCAAATAAATTAATAATATTTGTTAATATTTGTTTGTATTATTAAGATTTGTTAATTGAGTTTGACTTGAACTTGAACTGAAGTTCCCAAGTAAGCTAGTATGATCCGTTTACCTACAGCATCTTTGACAGGAGTAATGGCAAAATTTTAATGAAAATCACCATTATATAAATTATATATACACATATATAATTTAGCATATAAATTTATATACATTTTTATATACGTTTGATGATCATTGATTGTTAATGTTAGCGCGAGGGTGGACTAGGATTAAGGTTGTGGTTATTATTCATGGTCTGTAATAAAAAAAGCCACAAGTAAGCAATATCGGCCCTTCATGTGCTTAAGTGCCTATAAAATACGCGCTCCTACATTACATCATACAAGTCAACAAAGTTGTTATTTCATGACGTTTAAGAAAGCTTTTTTGCTGTGGTGTATATTACATTTTCTTGCTTTTTATTTGTATATTTGTGGTTACGACAATCTCAAAATTATTGTTTGCATATTCAGTCTGTAGAGGAAAATATTGGCCATAAAGCTGAAATTAAAAAACTATTCTTTGTCATTTCTCTTGAACTAACTATAACACTCTATAAATAATGCTAAGAGTTACAAGATAGCTAAAGGCCCAATAGTTTAATGTAGAAATATTCGTGTAGCATGATCCATAGAGTAGAATAGCTCCATAAGTTTACTCAGTCATCATTGTCATTAGATGACGTCTCGTAATCCCTACACGTCGTTGTTGTTTAACATTTATTGCTAATTATCACATATAATACAACAAATAGTCACTGTTATACATAATATTTTTGTGATAGTGTTACAAATATCAACAGAGTTGGGATATGAATTCAACAAGTGCTTGCACGAACGCCCTTGACATGAGTGACAAATGAATCAAATTCCTCAACCCCGTTTTGCGTAAGTTTGATAATTCATCAATGGAGCCATTTGTGATTACATAACTAGAAAGGTTGTAACCTTGAAAAATCTACGTCTCGTGTTGAGTTAAATATTATTATAAAATGTTTAGCATGTAATATGAAAAAGAAAGACGACACAGATTACAATGAAATATATGTGGAATTCAATAGCACAAATGATTCATGACAAATATTTCACCATTTGTAATATTTCAATTGATGATATCATTTTTAAATGTACAAGAGAGGTCATAAAAAAGAGTTCTAAGTGAAGAAGAATATAGAAAAATAATTGACTTTTTAGCATTTAGAACTTTTAAAGAAGAATTGGACAAATAGATTATTTTGAAGGCCGCACAAGTGGGTGTGAAAAAGTTAATCAAAGAAATGTTTATATACAGTGTGTCCCACTATAGATGTTACAAGAGGTATATGACTTAAAAATTTTTGAATTTTATTTTAAGACTAAGAAATTAAGCCCTGCTTGGTGTGAAGAGAACTTTAAGAATATTATCATATTTTGAAAACAAAGGCGGCCTTGACAGCGATTCGAAAACTATTTTTAGTTTAGATAAAGTAATCTTTTTATTTATGATACAGAAAAATTTTATTAAGAAAAGTTGTTCATCTATCTACTTTGGTTGAACCATCACATTTTAGTTTAAATAACATAAATATTGTATAATACTTGAAATGTGAACTAAAATCGAGGGATAATATAATTTATTTCTCAATATTTGCGACTACTTAAATCATTTTTTTTCTTCACTCTGATCTAATCTAAAATATGGTGGTTTAATCAATGTAGGTAAATCTTTCTGAAATTGTGTATAGTGCCATAATTTTTCATTCTGAACAACTCTCCTTAATGACATTTTGCCATATCATGAACAAAAAGCTTACTTTACCTGAACTAAAAATAGTTTTTGCTTCACTATCAAGGCCGATGCTGGAGGTTGATTTTCAAAATATGAAAATATACGTAAAATTCTCTCCACACCAAGCAGGGCTTAATTCCTCGACCTTAAAATAAAATTCAAAAATTTTTAAGTCATTATACCTCTTGTAACATCTATCCTGGGACACACTGTATATTCAATAAGGTATGAAAATATTTGCTAACGTTTTTTAAAGGTTGTTAATAATGTAAAATTTTTAGAATATACAATAAACTTAAGTCAAAGAAAAGCGCTAACATTACAATAGGCAGAATGTTTTTAACACCTAATCAATATTGGAATGCGAGTGAATTCAGCTACTGGTACAAAAACCGCCCGTTGGGAATTCATGAAATTAACAAATTTGTAAAAAATGGAGTAGAAAAATCTGGATTGATCAAACAATTCGATCAGATCTAGTGCTGTGCCGATCCTTGAGAAAGCTGGTGTTGAAAAAGAGCAACTGATGAAAATTGGCGAGGCACAACAAGAGTAATTCTATTAAGTCTTATCTGCAACTAGACAGAGGACATCATCAATAAATAATGAAGAAGATGAAATCCAGTGTAGCTGCTAGCAACAGCAGTGGTTACATTTTAATTAAAAATGATAATTCTGAAAATATTACAAAAGCAGGTTGTTACACTTTATCTTGGCTTTTGGATGATGATCTATTCACCTTTATTATAGAAAAAGTTCATACTGAATTAGAAATCGCAGATAAGTTTAATTTTAATAATAGAAAAAGCTGGTGTAGTTTATACGTTACAACACGTTGAAATTAAAAGGAAAGTGTCGAATAATTAATGGCCATTTCAGAATAAGTGAACAACCTTCCAGACATTTTGCAAATTATTACAGTCGCTAATTCAAGATATAAAAATATGATGTTATGAATAGCTTAACTGATGTTAGAACAACTCTGAACAAAAAAGCCATTAATTTATGTGGAATGAAATTTTATGTAGATAACAGAAATTCCACAATGATGTATATTTATTCAGAAGTTATGTACAATTAGTTTCGCTTTTTTAGAGCGTCTTCAGGTACAAGGTCATTTAACGAGAAATGATCAAAGGATTGTAACACTTGTGCATCATGTGGAAAAGGTTTGAGAATGAAAAATAACAAAAAGTGATCGGAACCTCGAACGATTTAAAAACCGCACATATCACTTCATCGTACGTAGTAGGAAAAAAAATGGCCGTTGAAGTACGCACATAACTTTAGATTATTTTTCCTCACTCATTTTGCCTTCAACATTTTGCAATTTAACACGCCTTCAGCCTTTTTCTTGTTGAGTAGGACGATGATGTGATATCTGCGGTTTTTAAATTGTTCGAGGTTCCGATCATTTTTTGTTATTTTTTGTTCTCAATCCTTTTCCACATGATGCACAATCGTTACAATCCTCTCGCTGATTGAAGTTGTACCTGAAGACGCTCTAAAAAAGCGAAACAATTGTTGTACATAACTTCTGAATAAATATACATCATTGTGAAATTTCTGTTATCTACATAAGATTTCATTCCTTATAATCATCACACAATAAACCTGGCTACATTAACGTATGTGGCAAGAAACTAGGAACTAATTAAAACAAAGCTATATCACTATAGTTATACAACCTGTCTAATAAAATGAAAATTAGAGGTAATAACGACAGAAGATCTATTACAGAAGATTTAGCTATCAAAGAATATAACACAAAATCTTGCGTCCTGGACAGAGCGGTATGAACAAAAAGAAAACAATATACACATCTGGAAGCATTTTTTGATGATGAAATTGTTCAAAAAAGTATAGCAACACTTATACATCATAATGCAGAATTTACATTGTTGTGACAATCGCAACCTAGACCAAAATGAAAAGTTCATAAAAATTCTTCCCCTTATTGAATCTTAAAAAATCAATAAATAAAATATACATGGGGGTACAAGTTTTGGACCGGAACTACCAGAAATGTATACATAGATCTGAAATATTTAAAATTTTTGAACTTGGTGCGACTATTATTCTGCAATTCCTTTATATTATAAAATAAATCGGGTTCATTTTCATCTTACTTCGACTACTTTTTACTTCACTTTCCTTATTAGAAGAATTCAAGTTTATGAGCCTAAAAGACTGACGTTATGAAGAAAAATTGGGCAGCAAGGGATTGTCTTTATCTTACTCTTGCAGTCTAAACACGCAGAGCGTGGAATTATTGAATTTGCGATAATGACAGTATTATTTTGTACAAATGGAATGACAATAATGTTGTGAGTGTTGTAGAAGATGTAAAATCGGGCCGACCAAAATATTGGTACATCAATGAGAGGTAACAAGCGGTATTTTCAATTAATTTGTCGCTATCTTGATATGATAACTCAAAATCCTTGGGAACTATATCGACTTGGAGGTGGTCAAAAAGACGCTTGGGTATTTAGAAACATATAATCAAAAAAACGCATTTAACCACTTATCAAGAAAGTAACCACAGTACACACTTTATTTACCATAAATACGAAACAGCTTTGCATTCGAAATATCGTTTTTACAATTATCCCACTGTGTAAATAGTTTATTTATTTGTATATTTTGATTTTAGTTAATGTGATTGAGTTGGTAATATCTAGGTTAATTGCTATCAAAAAGAGGAATTAATAATTTAAAATTTACTGCATTCATTGAATACAACTCCTTTTTATTTTGTTTCAATTCGAAAGTTGAGACGAAACAAGTTCCAAGCAAGAAGCTTTAAAAGTCGACGAAATATCCATTTAATTATTTCGTCGCTATAAAGTATTTCTCGTTTCCCGCATAATAAATAATTCCAGAATGACAGGATATAATTAATGAAATTATAACTTATAATTTAAAATAATGAATTGTATTGTAATAAGTATGAATAATCTTTATGGTATTGTTTTTAGTATTGATTTTTAGTGATATTATAAAAATGATATAATATGTACCACAGCAGTAAAACCTCCTTTTAAGTTAATTAGCCTTTTCAGATTATAATTTCCATGTTTGCAAAAGTTTTTGCGACATATTTGAGATAATAATAAAGTTGATATAACATCTTTATGGATTACCTGTATTATTTATAAAAAAGTATTGTGAATAAGAAGTGATCTAATTTAGAGCCTTATAAATAAACCATCCAAAAACCGATTAATTTAAACCCGTTAGTTAAATTTTGATAATACACCATTAAAAACCTTACAATAAAAAGAAAGTAGCGATTTTGAAATATTCCAAAAACTTTCTAATTTTTAATTTTTTAGAATATACAGTAGTAGTACATACTAATATTACCGCTTTCTCAACAACACCGCCGTACGTAGGGTAAATACTGTTTTTTTTTTAATCTTCGAGTTGAACTACTACCACCAGTTCCGCGGTGGCGTCTCCGATTTCGGACCCCTGCCTTAAGAAGTCTACTACAAAAAATACAACGCTTCCCCTCCCTGCTTTCGTTCTTTTTAAAACGTCCGATACACACGCAAACAAACAACACAAACGACCGCACTATCACACGGAATCTATTCGCCTAAACTTCGCCTAGCTATGTACAATTGCTAAATAATTGATTTTCGTGTCATCAAAGCTACGAACGTTCACGTCCTCTAATAACGGATTAAACGAACAGGACCACGTTTCACACCTAAACTAGCTAGCAAATAAATAGATAATACATCTAAGTTGCGTGTTCAATATAACAATAAAAATAACCGTAAATAGCGAAAAATTTACGTGAAGTTGAACGAACAAAAATTAATAAATTTAATTGTTTGAATGATGGAGTTGAAAATCAAACATAAATAAGAACGAGATTCGTGATTAAAAAGAAAATTGAATAATGTAATAACGTAGAGCAAGATTCACTGCAAAATTAAAACATTTTACTTATGTGAATTATTTTTTTTTTATACAGATTGATTTCTAATCTCAAGAGTCTCAAACTTAGTTAAAATATCGAAAAGAAAACGTAAACACAATATAAAAAGTAACCGTAAGCCAAAATCCGAATCAACATTTAGAATTATTAATAAGGAGAAAATAAACAAAATCAACATTGATAAACAATGGAAATATTACTCAACAAATTATTGCAAGTAGATCAGAAGCGTAATATACAAATAAATAGAAAAATAAAATTAATTTTTAGAGAGCGGCTCTGTAAAAAATTGATTGAGGGGGTCGCATCTTCACGTCCTGCGGAACACGACCTTTCTACAATGCTTTTATTTTTCATAAGTATTTCTTGTTTATTTTTTAGTTTCTTTCTAATAATTTTGAGTAAATTCTATATTTACATGAATCCACTACAATCACAACATCTATATTAAACCCCATTAAAATTGTATCATAAAAAGAGCTCGTTTCCGCAAACCGCAAAGACAAACACTGGCACATGGCAAAAAGAATTAAAAAAAGTTAATAGAAATAATAAAGAAAAAAAGTACGAAAACACGTTAATGGAGCTAAACACGGCCAAGGATCTCTGGAAGCCTGCTCTGATTGTCTAAAATCTAACTGGTGTGTAATGCAGAAATCAGTCGTGTGCCGTTGCTGCTGCTGATGCTGGGGTGACGACGACGACGACAAGCATTTTTACCGCACAATCACTAAAAAAGAACACGTACACATCGACCTTCCGCCCCGCCTAGGTCCAAAGGCTAGAGGTATTTTGTCCAACCGAACACGCACGTGCGCGCCAATGACACTTGTCCCTCTTTCATTTTATTTACCTCACCTCTCATACAAGTTAATCGTATCGAAGCTTGGTTGACATTAGTTTACCATGAGCGTATGCGATTCCATTGGGGCCGCCGAATCGTAGAGTGTATCCGTGTCTTGTGTAGGCTCACCTTGTAATTGACACTGATTTGTTAACGTTCCAGCACCACAATCGCAGAAGAACCTAATAACAAACAAAAAAAAATTATGTACTATTTAAATCTCAAATTACTCTTTTTTTAATTAGTGTTTGATTAAGTTTTACCAGACAAACTCTTAAACTAACTTAAATTATGTTAACATGAATATATCCAGTTAAAGTTGTTGGATAACTAACTGATAAGTAAACTAATCAAATTGTTAAGCTCAGTAAAGCAAATATTCGATAAATTCAGAAAATATCTAAAATTCTTCAGCGCCATAAAAAACTAATTTCTATTTTAAAAATAATTACTTATTTGTTGAAGATTGTGTTTATCTATGCCCTTTAATCTCTTGATAATTATAAAAAATTCGCCCGCGCAAAGACAAGGTAAATAGTGAGCGATATTACAAACGTAACAAAATTCAAATCAGTCTGTTTTGCGGTAAGAAACAAAGCTGTTCTAGTTTATTTGATCGATAAAGTAAGTAGAACAGCAAGATAACATACCAAAAAAATAAAACAACTTTAAAAATACAGACTAAATACAGTGAAATTCCCCTAACTCGAACTTCTATATCTCGAATTATCCTAAGTCGAATTTCCCTAACTCGAATTTCTCTGTAACTCGAACTGAACTATTATGGAGTTTCTTCAACTTTTACTTCTATAAGTCGAATTTACCAAAGAATAAAATATTCGAATCCGCTCTGTAAGTAATTTTAACTACAGAATCAAACCACATGGACTCTGGCTCAGAAACTACAGACTCTTGAACCAAAACAAACCTAATGTTCTTATTGTTTTAGAATCCGATGAGGGTGATGATAATCTTGAAAATGAAATACTTATCGCTGTGCCTACATTTGATGAAGCTTATTCGTCTCTTAGAAAGTTTGAAATCTTTGTATTATCAAGAGAGGATGTTCCAGATAATATTCATAATTCTTGACATTTAATAGAAGATTTTTTCGACAAGGAGCGGTTGAAAAAATTACGGATTACTTTAAAAAACTTGATTAATTTTCAACTTACAATAGTACTAAGGTTTCTGTTTTGAATATACAGTATTGGAAAAAAGTAGATCAACTTTTAATTTTTGTAAATTAAATTTGAAATTAATGCTTTTCCTTAGTGTAAACTCTACTATGGTAGTGTATATTATATAGCATTTACGTAGTGAAGATTTCACAAAGCTAGCCTTATTTTATTAGAAATAAAATAAAATTATAAAACATGGGTTGGAAAAAAGTAAAACAACTTTGCTAAGAAATACAAGCACGTGATAAATAAGAACGAGTTTTTGATAAGATACATTCGATAAGACCAGTCTTAAACATGCCTTGTGGTGTGTAGATGTTTGTAAAACTGTAAAACAAATGGTTATTAATGATTTTGAAAACCATGTTAAACAATGTGATATCGCTCGCAAATTCTCTTTACACAAATGTGTAGTATCGCGAATTATTAAACAATATCGTGAGACAGGACTTGTAGACTTGAAGAAAAAGTCTGGACGTCCCAGAAAAACCAATGAATGCCTTGATAGAATAATTGTAAGAACAGCTAAAAAATATCAATTTTATTCTTCAGCCAAAATTAAGGCTGAGTTACAAGAAACACACAACTTGGAGGTATCAACACGTACAATACGCAATAGATTAATTGAAGATAAACTAATTGCCAGAACACCAGCGAAGAAAACACTTTTATCAAAAAAAATAAAGCCGCAAGACTACTGTTTGCACGCACCCATCAAGAAGTGGACATACAACGAATGGAAAAAGGTATTGTTTAGTGATGATTCCAAGTTTAACTTATTTAAAAGTGATGGAATACAATATGTGAGGCGTCCAATAGGAAAAAGGCTGACTTCTAAGTACATGCAGCGAACATTAAAACATGGAGGTGGTTTTGTGATGGTTTGGGGATGTTTCTCTGGTTTTGGTGTAGGCCCTGGACAAAAGTACATTTCTATTTTTTTCTTTAGAGCTGAAATTCTACTAATCTTTCTCTAACTCGAATTCTCCATAACCCGAAGTTTTCTTCCGCTCCCTTAGTGATTCGAGTTAGGGGAATTTCACTGTAAATAAGGTCAGCATATAACTACAAGTGGTGAAATGTATTATCCAGTGATGGAACGAATAGTGATTTTGTGAAAGGCCGGATATCCGGTTATCCGGCATACCTATCCGGCCATTATGGTTATAACTTCTGGTGCATTTCTAAAGTGATACCCTACATTGTCACATAATTGCGGTAATTGAATAAAAATGAAATTAATAAGAAAGCTGATAAGATATGTCAACTTATTTGGATCCAAGATACAAAATGAACTTTGTTGATGCTGTTTTAACTCACGAAGCAACTCTAAAAAAAGGATACTTTAATTAATAATTGGTGATATTTCCACAACGATCCTTATTTTATTGGAAAGAGGACACTTTTATTAACACTTTGGGAAATTTTCATACTCATATTCCAAGAAATTGATTTTATACGAATTTTTAACACTTAATCGGCAGAAGTTGCAAAATTCGAAAAAATTGTCGATTACTTCAAAAATTTATTTCTCAAAAACTAAAAGTGATTTTTCAAAACGGTTTTTATAAGAGGATAATTTAATTAATAATCGAAAGTGATAACACTGAAAGTATTAACTTTAAGGAAAATACTAAAGAGACAAAAAAATACCACTAAAGAATGAAAGTTCTCGCGTTAAAAAGTTCTTATAAAAAATCAAGGGGGTGGTGAATTTCATCCCCTTAGAGGGCACTGGGGAAGTTTAATGTATGGTTGAAAATAAGGTCAAAATGTAAATTTTTGTAAAATTTGTGTTATTTTGGCAAGTAAGTACTACATCCTAGTAAAGTTTCCCGATTAAAAACTGAACCACACCCCACAACACACAACACATGGTTTAGTTTTTTGGTTTTACTTATGTAATGCTGTTTTCACACATTTCCATGAACTTATTACATAATTAAATAATTCGCAGAACAGCGTTGAGAACAAAAGTACAAATTGAAAGTAGAAGAACCAATAATGAAAAGAAGCAGAAGTATTATTCTGGATACACCAGAAAAATTAAAAGATGTGTTTAATTAATGATGGCTGAATTACCAGAAACAAAGCGACAAATCAGCGAACAATTATTTGATGGAACTTTTTTAATAAACACTTATTAAATATTATACTTAAAGAGGATAAAACCTAAGTATTGCTCCTTTTCATATACAGGCTGAGTTATTACTATCCCGGCGGTCGATAGTTACTAAACCATTTGAAAAACAAAAAAGTATTTTATACAAAAATTGTTTTCACTTATACAGGGATGTTCCATTTAAACGTAACGGAGAGTATATAAATTTATTTAAATGGGACACCTGTATATTTTATCACATTATGAATACAACTAAATTTGTTTATACAACCGTATATGTTACTATTTCACAGCGTTCATTTCATCAATATCTTGAGATATTCAATTGTTTTTCCAAAATGCGCTTTCGTTCACACTAAAAGAAAAACTCTTTGTTCGTTTGGTTTAAATGCACCTTTAAAGGATCTTTTTGAAAACGATGTAAAAACGTTTAAACGCAAAAATTTTTTTCCGATTTTGCCTCGAAACTACGTCAGACAATAGTCAAAGCCAGTAGGTAGATGATAATATTCAAAGATATTAGACACACTATACAGGATGTTTAAAAAGCTCAGTTACTTTTGATGTTTTTCAAATGGCTTATTCTTAAGTTTTTTAAATGGAACAGCTTGTATATTGTGTGCTACTTGAATTGCTCATCACGTTCCCTTTAATTAATGATAAATATGTCATATGTCTAACTTTAATAGTTTTCCTGATATTTAGAATTTAAACAAAAATGTGTAATAAAATGTTATTATTGTACTTAAAACAGTGATAGGATGTAATATATTGTCCTTTTTTTGTCTGTCATTAATTTGTAAATCAGTAATATTATATTAAAATAAAATTAAAAAAAAAAACTTTAATAAATAAATAATAAAAACGTGTTAAAAATTGAAAAAATTAAATGGCAGAACAATAAATTCCGTTTTTAATTACTAAATTATTTGAAGGAAATGCAGCAACAAACTATAAACAATTACTAAACGTTGCTCAACAAGTGGGTATTAATTTAATTAATATTTAGAAATTGTTCAAAATGCCGCCAATTTCCTCTTCTACAAGCATTAATGCGCTGTATAAAAGATCTTGAGGTATTTCTTAACAAGTGCATCTTATTTTCTCTAAAGTCGTAAATTATATGGCAGAACAATTGCATAATTTATTACTTACATCTTTTTAAATCTCATAAAGCACCAAGTCGCATTAAAATCTGGTATATGACATCAAAATTATTTTACATTATAAAATATTAATCAAATAATGAAAGGAAGAACAAAAAAAAACTGATAAAAATAGACAGAATAATATTAAGTACAATAACGCATATTTTATTACACGTTATTCTTTAAATTCTAAATATCAGGAAAGTTAGATATATGACATACTTATCATAAATTAAATGTAACTTGATAGGCAATTTAACCAGCACACAATATACAGGTTGTTCCACTTAAAAAACTTATGAAAAACCTTTATAAACACGCTGTATAGCGTATCTAATATCTTTGGTTACTATCATTTATCTACTGGCTTTGACTATTATTTGACATAGTTTCAAGGCAAAACTGGAAAAAATGTCGTTTTTACATCGTTCTGCAATGGACACATTTTGGAAAAACAATTGAATATCTCAGGAACTATGAACGCTGTGAGTTAGTAACATATACGGTTGTATAAACAAATTTAATGCTATTCATAATATGATAAAATGTATAGGGTGTTCCATTTAAAAAAATCTACATACTCTCCCTTACACTTAAATGGAATATCCTGTATAAGTGAAAATAATTTTACGTAATAAAAAGTGGTGAGTTAAACAACTTTTGTATAAAACATTTTTCTTTCTTTCTCAAACGGTTTAGCAACTATCGTCCGCCGAGATATTAATAATCTAATAACTCAGCCTGTACAATTTACACAATAAAGTAAAAAAATGCAATAAAAAAGTTTCTGATTTAAAAATAATTGTTTTTAATGTCACATTCCTTCAATTACATCTGTTATACTTTTAAAATAAAGCATCTTTTGGTCAATGTTGGTAGTCTCCACCAGTTCAAGAACCTTAAGTATTAGCACCTTATGCTCTTCTTATCTAATTGCGTGATATTAAATATGTTATCAATGTCTAATATATACCACACTTACATCTTAGTTTACGTGGGTAAAAGGTGCAATTATTTAATATTCTTTAATCATGGTCAAAAAAAATTTCACACTATCACATACATAATACACACTCTAGATCTTAACCCCAAAGGACAACATAAAAAATATGTTAGAAATGCTTGTTAAAATGACCATTGAAACATTAAAATTTCAAAATCTTGTATACATTTAAATCTTAAAGTAATAATTATTAAAATAACTAAATACAATAGAATCAGCTTTATGACACCAAGAATTTAGATTGTTTAAGTAATTTTCCAATGTGAAACTACTCAAAAAAGATATTAAAAGAATCCATTAAAAGTAAAAGCAAAAAATACCACTCACCTATCGTGCCGAATAAATTCAACATCGTGGCCTGCATGACAAGTCTTGATACAATTAACACAAATAGCATTACGGTCGGTGGTGTTGCACGTTTGGCACCTATAAAAATCGTGCATGGGGAACGATGTGTAACTAGATATCTTATACAGGCACTGGCCGTTGGACACGGCTTTTTCCACCGCGTCCTGATTATTAAATATTTTGTTCCCCCGAACGATTGGTTGCACACCACTTGCCAAACACAACCCCCCAAATCTATTATTAAATATCTGGTTAAATTCCAACGTGGCCGTCGCGTTGTTTGTAATTTCAACGCCCGCCGCTAATCCATCGAAAATCCTATTCCGCCTAAGAATAGGATGGCTTTGCGTCGAGATTAACACACCGGCCTGCGCGTTCCGAAATATATCGTTCTCTTCTAAGATCCCTTTACCGCCGTTAAATATACAAATCCCTCCATCTCGCCCATCGAAGATTTTGTTACGTTTTAAGGTCGGATTCGAGTCCGTTTTGATCCAAACTCCCGCCATCGCGTTATCGAAGATCTCGTTCTGCTCCAACAGGCCCAAACCACCGTTATAGACGAGAACACCGCCGTTTTGACCGCCCCAAATTTTATTACCGCGAATCACCGGATTACTTCCAGTTCGTATTTGCACACCAGAGTACAAGTGATTAAATATGTCGTTATCTTCTAATTTTCCGTGGCCGTTATCGTAAAAATAGACACCCACTTGTTTACCGGAATGAATTCGATTTCTTCTTAAAACTGGAGTACTTCCTGTTGTTATCCAAACACCAGCCAATGTATTTGCATATACCTAACAAAATCAACAAATTAATAATATAACAAAATTGTTGTTTGTAAAACGTGGTTTCAACAATTTTGAATGAAATGTATAAGTTATAGGCAAAGTCGACTCTTGTTAAAAGTATCAGTAATAGTTGATTGAAAATAAACAGATCAACTTTTCCTAAGAAAAGTTAACTATGTGGTTTAGTAAAAGTTGATTCACAGTGAAAGTGAAGAAAGTGAAGTTCCTATGGATAAAACAATAGCTGTGAGGACTGTTGTAACTTCACAATCACTTGGAAGTCGACAAGGATTTTTTAAATGCTTTTGCGACACTAAATCCAAATCCATGATGTGCATGTGTAAGAAGAAAGGTGTGCTTTGTAACTCAAAGTGTCACAAATCTTTGCCTTGCTGTAATAAATGATAAACATTTCTATCTGTATATATACTGCTGGCACGTTAATTAGCACACCCTTGCAAATTCAAACAGTAGTATCCATATATCGAACTATAACGGCATTTTAACATAATTTTTGATTTGTTTGTATTGACTTACACTGTATCGTTTGTAATGGCTTCGTTGTAGTAACATTTTATCGCTGCTTAAATTGTTATACGTCTTTTTTCGTAAATATGTTTACTATAAGTTGGCATTTTAATTACCACACCCTGACATTGGCAATGTCTGTTCCGTATGAAGTTCATATTGATAGTTGAATTTGATTTAAAAGCAGTATAAATGTCAGTTAAGTCAATTTAAACGAAAATTGTTTAAACATCATTGAGATGGGATGCAAAAAAGCTGTACAGAGGGGGAAAGACGTCTAATATAGAAGATATTGTTGTAAACATTATTTCTTTCCATTTTATTTTTAAATAAAGTAANTGTATTTGCATATACCTAACAAAATCAACAAATTAATAATTTAACAAAATTGTTGTTTGTAAAACGTGGTTTCAACAATTTTGAATGAAATGTATATGTTATAGGTAAAGTCGACTCTTGTTAAAAGTATCAGTAATAGTTGATTGAAAATAAACAAATCAACTTTTCCTAAGAAAAGTTAACTATGCTTGCTGTGGTTTAGTAAAAGTTGATTCACAGATGCTGGTTTGTGCGCACGCTAAAACTTCTTGGAAAGTGAAGTTCCTATGGATAAAACAATAGCTGTGAGAACTGTTGTAACTTCACAATCACTTGGAAGTCGACAAGGATTTTTTAAATGCTTTTGCGACACTAAATGCAAATTCATGTAATGCATGTGTAAGAAGAAAGGTGTGCTTTGCAACTCAAAGTGTCACAAATCTTTGCCTTGCTGTAATAAATGATAAACATTTCTATCTGCATATACACTGCTGGCACGTTAATTAGCACACCCTTGCAAATTCAAACAGTACTATCCATATATCGAACTATAACGGCGTTTTAACATAATTTTTGATTTGTTTGTATTGACTTATACTGTGTCGTTTGTAATGGCTTCGTTGTAGTAACATTTTATCGCTGCTTAAATTGTTATATGTCTTTTTTCGCAAATATGTTTACTATAAGTTGGTATTTTAATTACCACACCCTGATATTGGCAATGTCTGTTCCGTATGAAGTTCGTATTGATAGTTGAATTTGATTTAAAAGCAGTATAAATGTCAGTTAAGTCAATTTAAACGAAAATTGTCTAAACATCATTGAGATGGGATGCAAAAAAAGGTGTACAGAGGGAGAAAGACGTCTAATATAGAAGATATTGTTGTAAACATTATTTCTTTCCATTTTATTTTTAAATAAAGTAAAATACTTTTTCTGTTTGTACGTTTATGAAAAATGGATTTATTTTTTGAAATTCTACCGGTTTCGGTTTATTTACAAAACGATCTTCAGGAACCTTCGAATCTCGTCAATTTATTTTAAATCTCTTGTAATAATTAGCATGTTGATTTGTCACACCAAAGACAAACACGTGCACACCTAATCCTGTCCGAAAGTTTAAGCATAACACAAATTACACCTAAAAGTGAAGACACAGATTCATTTCAATAAAAACGCTTACTAGAAAATCAACATGCTAATTATTACAAGAGACATTTAAAATAAATTGACGAGATTCGAAGGTTCCTGAAGATGGTTTTGTAAATAAACTGAAACCGGTAGAATTTAAAACAATAAATCCATTTTTAATAAAAGTACAAACAGAAAAAGTATTTTACTTTATTTAATATGGAAGATGTTTGAGAAAGAGAAAAATATAAGTAAAATTGCCCGATCTATTGGGAGTTCGCGTAAAAAAGTTCAAAATGCACTTAAACATTATCGAAATAATAAAAGTTTTTCTAATCAAAAATGATCAAGACGCAAAAAAACCGGAAAAACGGAGGATTCCCTAATTGTCCGACAGGTGCTCAAAGATCCTTCCCTTACTTCTTTACAGATAAGAACCAGAATGTAGCAGGAACATGATGTCAACATTACAAGTAGAACCATCAGACAAAGACTTCTGGAAAACAATCTCCAGGGATGCTAAAGTTTAAAAAAAAATCGAAGGTTTCGCTTGGTAACCGTAAAAATCGCTTGGAATTTATAAAAAGCCATATTGAATCTCTTCCCTTTTTCTGGAATTGCGTAATTTGGAACGACGAATCTAAATTTAATCTATGCAGACCTGATGGCGTGCGTAGATGTTACGTGCGACGTCCTCCAAATAAACAGTTAGAACCAAAGTACACGACAAAGACAGCGAAATTGCTTCGATTTTATGCACTTTTAACTAGATGCAGTACGGTGTGCTAATTAGCGTGCCACCCCTGTATTACAAAGGTTTTGCATTTTTATTAGTTTTTTATAAACCTTTTCTATCTCTTTATGTATTAATAAAGGTTTTGTCATTTTATGTGTTTTTTATTTACCTCAAGACAGTGAGAGTATACTTTCCCTAGGTATAGTCAACTCCGACTACTAAATGTTGATCAAAATTCAACACTTTTCGCTTTTAATCAACTTTTACTGAAAAGACCAGTAAGAGTCGACTTTACCTAGGCAGAGTCAACTTTTACTGCAGAATCGACTTTCTCTATAACATATATAAAAAATATATTCAACACTTACCTCATTTTCTTCAATTAATCCCTGTCCTTTTTCATGAACATAAATTCCACCATGTTGACCATGATGAATTTTGTTATGTCTGACAATAGGATCGCTGTTGGTGCGAATTTGAATACCAGCGAGTGCATTACCATAAATATTATTGTGTTCAATGAGGCCCCGTCCTTCGCCAAAGATATAAACGCCCCCTTGATGGCCATTATAGATTTCGTTCCGTCTGATCGTTGGATTACTGTTGGACGTTATCCAAACGCCCGCAAAATTATTCGAGTGTATTTTGTTATCTATAAACTGACCCAACCCGTTTTCGTGAACGTAGATGCCGCCCGTTTGTCCGTGATGAATTTCGCAGTGAACAACGGTAGGGTTTGCACCCGCTTTCACCTCAAAACCAGCTATACGATTATTATGGATATCGTTTGCTTCAAAATAACCCTAAAAAATTATAAATATAATTTAAATGTAATAGAAACGAAATTTTATTTGTGAAAGAAAAAAAAAATTACCATTCCGTTATCAAATGTGAAAATTCCTACATCTCTACCATGATGAATATGGTTTCTTCTCATAATGGGATTCGCGAAATTCTTAACCCAAATTCCCGCTAAGGCATTTCGGCTAATTTCATTATCTTCATATGTTCCTTGGGCGTAGTCTGTTACATAAAGTCCTACATTTTCACAATCTGAGATGTCACAATGTCGTATAACTGGATTTGCTCCAACGCCATTTACGCAAACTGCAGCACCAACTAATAAAGATTTTAAAATACGTTTATTTTAATTAATAAGTATTTATTAGGATTTTGTTTAAATTGAAATAATTTAATAATAGCTGCAAAATTTCTTTTAAATTCAAATAAACAATACTTCAGGAACTCTAAATAGTACGCGTAAAATTATAATGATAGCTTAGTTAGATTAAACCCATTGCATTATTAACCCTAGATAGCTAAACTATCGTAAAAATTACGACTTCAATAAAGATATATAACAATCTGGCGATGAATAACAAATAAAACTAGAGCAACACTCTCTAGTGTTAGTTCTAGTTTTAGTTCAATAACAACATACAATTTAGCGCTATCTACTGCTTACTAGCGCTAATTAACACTGTAACTAGAACTAATAGTCGATCTAAAACTAGAATCATTCGGCTGTAGCCGTTCGTTTCTCAAGACGGCTAAACCCAAATGTTTCTAGTTCTAGGTCTAGTGTTAGTTCTAGTTTTAGTTCAATAACAACATACAATTTAGCGCTATCTAGGCTTACTAGCACTAATTAACACTGTCACTAGAACTAACAGTCGACCTAGAACTAGAATCATTCGGCTTTAGCCGTTCGTCTCTTAAGACGGCCAAACCCGAATGTTTCTAGTTCTAGGTCTAGTCATGTCTAGTGTTAGTTTTACTTTTAGTAATAAACTAGAGGACTTTAATGATGTCCAAAAGTGTCCAGAAACTTTCTAGTGGTCTCTATAAGTATCAAATAGTGTTTAAACGTTTTCTAGACGGTTATAAAGATTTCCAGACGATTTTTAAAGTTGTCCAGAAGTGTCTAGATACTTTCTAATGATTTTTCGCTCGTCTCTCAAGACGGCNTAAAACGAGTAATCGAACCTCGAGCGCAAACTAGTACTGGAACCTCAAGCGCAAACGATTACTTGTAACGAGTACAAAGTAACGAATACTTTTTCTGAAAGTAACTGATAGTTACAAATACTAAAAAGTAACTAAACTTTACATCACTACTAGATACTTTCTAATGATTTTTCGCTCGTCTCTCAAGACGGCTAAACCCGAAAGTTTCTAGTTGTAAGTCTAGTGTCAGTTCTACTTCTAGTAATGAACTAGGGGATTTTAAAGATGTCCACAAGTGTCCAGAAGCTTTCTAATGGTCTCTATAATTATCAAATAGCATTTAAACACTTTCTAGACAGTTAAAAAGATTTCCAGAAGATTTTTAAAGATGTCCAGAACAGAGACCTGCAGCGAATGGTTCACATGTCGAATCATATTAATCGATTCGCTATTGACGAATACAAGTGTGAATCATGTAGTGTCGTGCTCATTCAAAAGCAACGAATAGTTTAAAACCATTCGCGAAAAAGACATTTGAAAAATTCCGTATAACGTATTGAAATTTAAAATTTTGCTGAAAAAGTGCAAAAACTGTCTAAAAAGTATCAAATCATTAATTGACTACTAATAGACATTTCACAGCGTACTGATTGATACTCTTTGATTTAAATGAATAAAATAAACCACACAATAAAAGTAACTAGTTTTGTTAATATCATAGCCTATTAATAGTGTCATCTATAGATTTACATTTTTTTAAAGTTCTGATTTCTTGAAAACCGGGTTATTGCAATAAGCTTTTTATGCGATTTCGTACACGTTTTTTTTAACACATTTTTTCATTAACTTTGAATAATTTTAAACAACTTCAGAAAATGTTGAACAATTTTTGGTCATTTTAGATAATATTGCACATGCTTAGACAAGTTTAAATAACTATAGACAACAAAGAGTTTTGTAAAGTTTTTCCGAATTTTGATAATTTTAGACACATTTTGACAATTTCAGATATTTTTGTGCATGTTTAGCTAAGTTTAAATAATTTTAAATTTTAAATACAATTTGATCATTTTAGGCAATTTTACAAAATTTTTCAGTTATGAACAAGTTTATACGAGTTTAAACAATTTTAGATAAATTTTGCGCTTTTAAATAATTTTGAAATTGATATATTTTCACTAATTGCATTCATTAATAATTGCAGTCAAAATTTGTATCTAGAAGTATTTTTTATTAAACTTTTTTTCCAGTTGTAACTTTTATGATAGTTTAGCTTTAACGTCAATTTTGAACAGTTTAGCTTTCTAGGGTTAAACTACTAATGTTTCATAACGTAGAATTTCATAATGTAGAAATAGATAGCATAAAAGATAGTAAAAATATGCCTTAATATTATATTTATACTCCATAATACTGAAAACGTTATGGTTAAAACTTACCCACTGATGTACTCCGAATAATACAATGATCTACAGTAGGACTACAATTTTCACCAACTTCCAGGCAAAAGTGTTTATGATGGGGAACAGTGGAGGTAACATCCGGGGTGAACTTGAGAGTTAAATGACCTACATACGCTTGTTTAGCGCCCTCAACGAACATTATCGTCGACTCTGATTCACGTTCTAATATTACAGACTCAGCAACATTTCCTGGCGCAGACCCTAAATTACGAAATACCATTGTAACCTCTTTATTCACGCTAAAGCAACATTGAAAAATATCGTACCTATAAGAGCGACATCCGAATCGATTACAAGAAATTCGCCACGATATGTGCCCGAATGTATGAACACTAAAGGTCCTTGCGAACAATTTTCACTCGTAGTCGTACTAGAGCAAGAATTAGTTGAGGAACCCGATTGGTTTATTCCGCTCCGTTCGTCAGCTTCATCTAATGCACTCTATAAGAAAAATTATAAACCATATATGCGAATATTTCTTAGTTCTTACCTGAATTGTATTGCAGTATTTTAAATTGCGTCCTTTAAATGTAAGGTCTTTATAACCAGGTCTGACATGAATGCCTCTATAAAGCTGCCTGAATGATTCCTTCCAAGGATTTGCTAACTCTGATTCCTCAGGGCTGACGAACTCGAAACGACACGGACCAGGATTAAAGAGCGGAAGATCGTATTCATAAACATTTTGATATAAACGTTTCCTAAACAAATATTTTAAAATTGTAAAATGATACAATAACTAAAATAACGATGAAAATATTAAATTTAGCAACTTGTTATCTTTCATTAGAAACTTCTTCAGGAATAACCAAAAAATACACATTATTAAAATAGAGATTTCCCAGAAGAGCTTAAATTGACAAAAACTAAATTTATACTATACACAAATGCTGAGACAAAATTATTTACAATATTTATCAAAATTCAATTATATACACAGATAAATTATTTGTAATTGCTAAATTTATGGGTTAAGCCTGAATGATTACAACACATTTTTTGGTACAAATTCCCATTCGTCCAAATTAATATATATTTTTCAATTAAAAACATTGTTCTTAAAACGCTAAAGGATTACATGAGCATAAATCATGAGTGAAATTCATTTTGTATTCTAAGTTTAATTCAAGCACCACAATTATTATCATAACAAATGTTTTTTTATTGGACTTCTTGAAAGTGATTTTACAGTGTTTTAAATAGATTAGTAAAGTAGTAGGTTTTTGCGAAATAATAACTATTCACCTCACAAATTCTAATGTTAACTATTTGATGATTAATTCTGTAAAAAATTATATAAATTTGAATGTCCAATTTCCTAAACTAATTTGTCATCATCAATGGATTTTAAATTGATGCAAAAAATATCGCAATAATCTTGAGCAACCTTAATCGTTGTAATTAAGTCGATCATCAAAACCACACTAACACCTTTATAATCGCACATTTCAAGAATTGTTTTAAAATTACACTATCATTGTATTTCAACACGATAATTTTAACGTCAACAAATAACAGACGTGACGCTCGCAACGCGTTATGAATATTTCCACGATATATCACAAAGAGGAAAAATAATATTTAAACATCTACATCCATTGTAGGTAGTTTTTTCGTTCTGAAAATGAAACATAACTTTAATGTTATGATTGTGTTGAATGTTTATAACGCATTTTTTTTAGTTTTAATTATGTCTAGTTGATTATTACAATGTAAAAACGTACAAATAGTTTAATTTCAAAATATTTCATGGTCAGGAGCATTGAACATATCTTTTCATCTCATTTTTCAAGATTACATGTGATATTTAGGCATGTTCTGAGAATATGATCTCCAGTAGAAGTTTGGATGGATATTAGAACCAAAAACGTCTATAAAAAAAGAGATGGAATAAATATTTATAATAAATTTGAATAAATCTCTTAAAGGGTTTGCCAAAAATATTACTTCAAAAAAAAATCGAACTCTTTAATCATTCAGTTTCTTATTATAAAGAAATTTGTGATACATTTACAATAAGCAACTGCGAAATAAATTGCAAACCAAATATTGTCTTGGAATATAACCAACCATAGAGGAGTTCATGTCTTGGACAAACTCATTTGAGAATATAGTTGCCACAGAACCACTAACGCATATAATGTGTTAGTAATTTTGAATAAAAAAGTCCTGATTGGGTAAAATGTCACTTATTCAACCAGAAATTAATCAAAGAGCACCAAATATTGAAAAAGATGGAAAGGGAATATCAAATAGTGTAAAAATAGCAATTGAAAGTACAGGAAGAAAAATCACGATGTCATCAATGTTGAGGAAGTGACTTGACATTGTGATTGACATAGTACAAAAATAACAAATATAATTTGTACAAGCTATAAACAAGATGAAGATGGAGAATAATAAGAAGCATTTTTATAATATGACTTATTAAGAATATTTAAGTTCCTTTTTATATGTCCTTTAATTATAGGTTAATAAAATATGGCTAATACAATATCTAGTTTTAATGCTTTAAAAAAACCTTAGAAGGTTCACCATGCTTAAAATTTGTTATGTAACAAAAAAGAAGAAGCAAAAGAGAGCCAAAATTTTCACTTACCCACAAAGGTAACTCATTCATTCAAATGGTCATTTATTTTATCTCAACCTAATCAGAGACAATCAAAAAAGTAATGACCACAGTTGTCTTGTAGATATCACCAATAATTAGTTTTTTTGTTTCATTTGAAAAGTAATTAGGGTTATCTGAATGTCTCTTAAAAAATTTATAATTATAGCGATTGTATTCTCCAACTAAGTTTTTCTTATAACCTAAGAATTTAATTTAATGCTTAATTATTAATTTTCATAATTTGCCCATTTCATTATGGCTCAATATTAACATATAACCAGTTCCAAGGACTTTTTAAATACGAGCTATATCCAATGAAGAAAATTAATGCGAACACGTTCTTCGCCCAGCGTAATTCGGCAGAGTTTCTCATCAGGCTCAAATTCAACCACCAGAGCCCCAGAACTTGTTATAGACGAAGTAGAGGAACTGAACTCTGTTGAGTATTCATTGGAAATCCAGATTTGCCGTTTGAAATTAGCGCAAGTGACGTGCTTTCGAAAAAGTGATAAGCCCATTAGTCACAGAGACTAATAGATATACAGAGCAAAAACTGCATCAACACGAAATGACTAAACAAACTGAACTGAACAGATGGAAACCCACCACTTCTGAAAGAATTACAAAATTTATCGCTGTTGATTTGCTTTATTATTAACTTTATTACTAATTAACAGCCAAATTTTTAAAATTCAATACGTATGTCGGCGGAACTATATGGTACAACATTAAAGAGAGGTGAAATAATAGCATGCGAAGATGATAAGAGAATTGTGCCGCTAAAATGGAAGGATGTTAAGTATACATGCACTTATAACTCCAACTATTCTACAACATACAAAAATGCGGAAAAGTATCAAGTGGTATCAGAAATTAGCAGTACATATACTTTTAGGAATAAGTATAGCAAATGCTCACATCATGTACCAGAGAATCACAAATAAACAATAAAAATAACAAAATTACAACTTTTCATTACTGAATAGTTTAATTTGAAAATATTTCATGGTCAGGAGCATTGAACATGCAAATTGACAAAAAGGAAAAGAACACGTCAAATTGAAAACAATATCACAATTAAAAAAGAAAATGTTAGTCAGCTGCAGTTGTTGGTTCAACAGTTTGTTGAGAAAAAAACTGGACAACAATTCTAAAAGGTCCAAAAAAGTTATGACAGAATAGTACCTCACACACGAAATGAAATATCTCCAACAAGTGGAAACAGCAAAATTTTTTACAATTACATGTGATATTTAGACAGGTTATGGTCGGAAAATGCTATGCCTGAGAAGAATAGCAATAAAACAAGGAAACAAGGGCAAGAAAACTAGAAAGAAGTAAAATAAGGACAAGCCTTTAAGAAAGATGTGCACCTTATGTTAATAGAAGAAGAGGCAAACTGCCAAACTCCAAGAAGAGAAGAAAAATGTAAAAAAAAAAACTATGATTTATTGTTCCAATTGTCTAAAATCACGACATAGATTATACTATATGTAATAATATGTTATCCTATATTTTTATGTTGTATGTCCTTTTTTTTATAAGGCTCTGTGGGATCCCAGCCCATAACCACAGTGCAAAACGAAACTAATTAACGTTCGACATTCACAACTCATGAAAACAAAAATTATTTTAAAAATCTTAAAATAATTTCTGCTTAAAATCGTTACAACATCAAGTTGCAAGGAGAAACCATACTATAGCAAAGAACTGATGTATTCCGACCGATATGACTCGAATTTATCGCAGTTCAAAAAGTTGGGAGATTGCAATTGAGAGACTGTAAAATATTAATTTTATTTAGATGAGGACGGTAACATCCATGGTCGGAGTTCAGCCTAACAACAGTTGAAAAGAAATTTCTAGAAACATCACAACCATTGATGGTAAAGTATATGAGGATTAACTCAAATGTATGGAGTCTGTCAGTGCTGACAAGTTTGATTCCAGTATCTGCACCAGTCCTCCTTTACAGGTGTCTCCCTGCAGATAAATAAGACCTCCTGCAAGGCCTACCTAAAAAGCTTATCATTATGGACAAAACCAGCGTGAGCTTTCACCCATAAAAGTTTTACCACATGGTCTTGATCATTCAACCTAGTGACATTGTTTAAAATTTCCACTATAACAGGCTGGTACTTCGAGAAGTGCTTCCTGCGTTTTATAGATAGTAGGACACTTTGCATCTGTGAATGTACTAACACTACTATTTGGGCGTATATTTCTATCTATATACTTTAAGGCCTCCAAAATTGGTGTTGCTTCCGCCGCAAAAATACTAGTGGATGGATTGTTTAAAACTGGCATGGTAATCAATAGTGGGTATCAAAAAAGCACAACCAACACTACCAGTTGCAGATTTGGAAGCATCAGATAAACTAATTATCCTCTATCAATTGCAGGGGCTCAACAAATAATTCTTTATTTTGCCAAACATCATTCCCATATAGACCAATAATCACTTAATGCGAGCTAAAGTACTCAAAAAAAGGTTGTACTTGGAAAAAGATATAGTATATCCTATATTTATATTTATGTGCTTATTTTATTAAACTCCTTTTCAAAAATCCAACTGAATATCCTATTTACTTGAACAAGAAGAGCATCAACCATATTTGAGTGATGGGGCCCCCAGGCAAGTATACCCATCATCCAGATATGGGTGATAGATAATATAGATAATTCTCTAAATGTTAATTATTAGGCAATTTTTGCATTTATTGCAAATAACATCATGAACAAGATCATCTCTTCACTCTATATCTCAAGTTGTGTACTAAAACATATGTTAAATTTTGCAAGTTGCTAAAATTAATATAATCTATAAAGATTATTACTAACCAAATCTCTGTATCATTGGCAATTGTTTGAAATCGTTTGCACACCTGACTAACCCTACATAAATCCAATTCGAGTAAATAACTGAATATGGTAAGAAGCACCTCATCAGGGAGTTCATATTGTAAATAATGAGCCGCAGTAGCTGTGCAATCTAAAACATTAAAAACCAAAATCGTTTCGATTTATCGTGATAGATTTTTAAGATTTGACTGACTTTCATAGGAAGCTGAACATGTTCTTCTTGGACGTTTCCTGGCCGGTAACATGGCGGAGGAATAGCCTTGGGCTGGAGCCGTAGGTGTAGCTGGTGACGTGGGGGATCCCGCGGTGGCGGCGCTCGTGCTTGGACCAGGGATTATCTCGTGATGAAACGGGGATTTTCTTCGAAGATCATACGGCGAGTGGTGTGTCGGAATTGCTCCACCGCTGGTTCCTGAGCCTGTTGGCCCAGCAGAACCAGGGGCGGTCGCCAATGGTGCTGGAATGTTTTGATTCGGGATCGGGCAAGAAGATTCACATGGTTCCGCTAAACAAAAACAAACAAATTAAATACAATTAACGATATTTTAATTAATTAATTATTACCACCTATAAAGAACATCTTATCTCATTGATTAAAAGTTGGATTAGGTATAAATTTGAATACTGAAAATTGGTATAAGATCCATGTGACATTATAAAATGAAAGAAACTGTGCGTTTTTTTAAATATTAGCGGCAATCTTTGACATTAAAAATCATGACAAGGTCAAAGTTTTAGTTCTGAAGGTTGTGTTAAAAAAAAATAAAATAAAAGAAACAGTATTGATACGAAACAAGAAAAGCATGATAATAATAAGTAAAAATTAAGACTGATAGAGACATGTTTTTGTAAATAAGAATCCTTTACAAGGACAATATGTAAATATAAGAAGAGTCAATAAAAGTTTAATACACTAACAAATTAAATAACCGACCTTTGTATATGGGTAGTATATATTTAATTACAGTTAATAGTAATAATTATTTTATGAATTTATAATAAAACAATTTAAAAGTTATATTTACATTTATATAGGTAAATGTCAAACAAATTGTCTTTTACAACAAGTGTCAAGGTAAATTAATTAGTTTAGTTGGTATGACTTAGGACCCTTATAAAATTTATGTTGTTTTCCTGATTTTTAGTAACATTTTCAGTAACTAAATAGTTGAGGTTAAAATAGTAATAAATTTTTGGATAAATACGATTTTAACGCAGAACATATTTATTGTAAAAAAGTGCTACAAACTTAAAACTTTTTTAGGTAAACAAATGGTAAATAAACGCAAATTTCTTGCGTTGATTTTATTACTTTTGACTTTTTGAATAAGAAAACTCAATGTGACATATTTATTTCGATAAAATAAAACTCCCTGTTAATTTTGCCAATTTTTATGATTTAGTTTAAATAATCTGTAAAAAGATAATAAAGGTGGAGTTTAATCAGTTTTAAAATCGAAATCTGACATAACATATAATAATAATACCGTATTGGTAAATAGTTAACGAGGACGTGAGTGTAAATTAGTGCATAGTAATAGAAAGAAAAATTGTTAACGGTTTTGGGGCGTGAAAATATGAAAAAAAAAGTGTTTGGACGCCGCTTTATCTGAGTATGTGGGTTGGTTGTCTCGATTATTTTTACGTGGAGATAGACGATGACATTTATTAGAGTGGCCAAAAAGCAAAAGGCAGAGGAGAGGAGACCATTAAAATAGGTTGAAAAGTAGGAAAGGAGCACGTAAACGGTCCCGGGTTTGAAACGAATTCGCTTTAACGGTGCGTAGCGGTAAAAAAAAATCGTGGGTATATCGGTTACGCACAGGTTTTAGATCCGTTTTCGGTCGAAAATCGAGATTTCTCTCTGTGGCAAAGCTGGACAGGTCTAAACTTACCAGAAGTGGTCCTCGAGGGCGTGGGTATCCTGTTGGCTCCTTTCCTTCTTGATCTCCTTACGTACGACCTGGAGGCCGTAAACGAGGCACTCGGCATCTTAATGGCGCACGAAAACCGGCCGAAACTTTAGCCCTAAACAAAGGAGACACTGACACTGGCGGTGGCGGCCATTTTCACTGCGCTCTGAACAGAACCATCAGAACGACGAACCACGACGAACGGACCCCGGACCAATAACAGTACTTCGGCCGCGGTCACGTGACCGTTAAAATGTCAGAATGGAGTACGAATTTATCGTCGACCGTCTTATTTCAATCGGCTCCTGTTCTCTTCTGTCGATACTGTTCGTGTGTAGTTTGTATGTGTGGGGCTCCCATCACGACAGGTAATTTCATTTACACGTTTTTTCGTTAAACGCGATTTTGAAGCAGCCCGAACTGAGGCCGTGGCGGATGGTGGACGGTGGACGAAACGTACGAACCCGTGGCTACCCCTCAACTCGTCGCTCTCCCCTCGCCCGTCCACTCACGCTCCGTTGCCCCTCCGGTCCTCCGGTAACCAACAACCGTCGGCGCCGTCGTTCCACTACCGAATTGTACAGTCTACCAAAAAAGTGCTGCTCAATAACTTGCAATTGAAACATTTTTTAAATTTATAACTATTATTTCAAAACTTTTCAACTTTAAATCGGCCATTAATTACTAATATTGACGTTTCAATGATAAGGCGTTGCCAACTTAAAAATTATTCTCGCATTTTTTTATAAAAAAATATAACCTTATTTTCTGAAGTTATATTAAAATTAAAAATCGTTTGTATCTTTCAAGCACAAATTATGCTTTTTAAATATATATATATGTATTTCTATATTTCACAAATGTCCTTGGTTATTGTTTTTTGACATAACATATACATATAACCTTACTTTTATGTAACACCTAAGGTGTCAAAATATCTTCAAATTTTAACTTGATTTTAGTTTATAATTACAAATATATAAAAATATATACAGGGTGTTTCGGTGACTCGGGGAATAAATTTAACCACATATACTAGAGTGAAAATGATGACGATTCATGTAAAATAAAAATAGTAAGTCTTCAAATTTCAAAGATACAGGCCATCAATGTTAGGAAATTTTAACACATTTTTCCAAATATCTTAAACACTATTTACAGTAAAGCTCTGAAATTTGGTACAGTATAAATCAATGTCATGTAAAATTGTTAGGCAATTTATGAGTTGGATCGCTCCGCGGGAACAATGCTTACCGGCTGTTCCTAAAGTTTGTTTGCTCAGAACTTTTTTATTCTTTCATAACCCTACATTTATTTTTGCAGTTTCTAATAGTAAATTTAGTTTAGAAACTTTTATTACTCTTAGATAATATTCATAAAAATCACCGTTTTCGTGTTAAATCCAAAAATGTTGGGTTCCGATTTCAATAGTGCTATTACTAAAAAAAAGAAATCTAAGTTTTTGAACATCCTTTAGTATTTTTTATTACTTGTCTTGTTATTTTATGTACTTTTTTTATTATTCCTGTTAGTGTTGATTTTTAATTTATTGTTTTTGAGTTCTTTTATTAAACCAACTAAAACAAATTAAAAATGTGATTTAGCTAAATCTACACTTGGACATGTTGCATACATAATAGTTATGACAGCTCAGTTCGATTTTCACTTGTCATTGCTAATTCAAATTATTTATTTATTTATTTTTTTTAGTGTTATTGAATTCGGAGCCTAACATTTTTGCATTTAATACGAAAACGGTG